TAAACGATCAGCTGGGTACGGATTTGTTTCTTTTCTTACTAAGGAGGATGCAGAGGCTGCCATTTCAACTGTGGATGGAAAGGTAATTATTATCTTATTGTTGGTTAATTGCTCTGCTATTTAATGTCTGAGATAAATAGTTTGTGTTCATCTTTTATCAACAGTATGTGTGCCTTTGATTATCTATGCGTGTAGAAAATAATTTTAATCAAATGATGTCGCATAGCATTTAGGTGTGCATGCTTTGTGTTTAAGTTTAAAAAAAAAACTATCCTATAGCTAGCTTTCTTGGATACAAATCCACAAACTACTTAAAGGAGATTCAGAAGAATTTGGATATCTAACGTAGTTGTATTTTGGCTATTGAATGATTGAGTGGCTGGATAAATAGTTGAGCGTGGAGGAATATAATCTGAGATTAATAAAAAACCAAAATTGTATCTTATTAACATACATACCGCCTGCAAACTTTCTTTACCTTCTTATTTATAACTTGCCTTTTACCTCCTGATTCCCGACAGTGGGTTATTACCCAAATCGGTTATAGTATTATAGTAAGTGCCTATGGTTGCATCTACTAGCATATTATGTGCCAATATTTACAACGAGGAGAGATTATTATGAAACTTCCCAAATGTTGGATTTGGTTTGTGATTCCCAATTGGCCTTCTGTTTTAAATCAGGCAATATTAAGTATGAAAGCACCTTTGAAGAAAAAGGTGCTATGATTTAGGGATGCTACAGTAAGATAGAACTGAATTCTTGTGAGGCGTTTAGGTTATGATCAAGTCTGATGGTGTAACTGGTTTTAATCTTGTATCTTGAACTTCTAATCGATACAAACATTAAGTAGAAATAAGATGACTGAGTCGGATGTTAGGCATTTCCATGGGGGAAAATAGCATGGAGATTCTCACAAATAGGTCATGAGCCAACCATATAAGAGAATATGACACCATTCTCACCTTAAAGCATTGAATTATGGGTTTTTCTTACTTATAAGTTATTCAACTTTCCCATTTCTATCTAATGTGGGACTTTAAACTCACACTTAAATTCTCAACATCAGACAATATATAACAACTCGTTTTGGAAGTTGTAATAAACTTGATATCTTAAACAACAGAACAAGAAGATGCATACATTGGCGTGGACTAGTAAATAATGAAGTCATTAGAATTTTCCTGCTATTTATTTCTAAGATCTAAAGAATAAAAGCCATGAAGTTGCTTGAATTTCATGTCTTGAATTTGAAGGAGCAACTCGGTTTTCTATCTGAGTGGGATCACTATTTTGTTTGTCATTCTTTACTTTATCTAGCTTCTCCATAGTTCCATCTTTGGTTCTTTACATCCAGTGTCCATAGTACTATTATGGCCGAGTTTCTAAAGTTATTTACTTCAACTATATGTATTATGTTGGCAAAAATTACTGTATTTTCATATTACTCCTGCTGAAGGAAAATAATTTACTCATTGTCTATCCTTTTGCAGGAGTTAATGGGACGACCGCTTCGCCTAAAATTCAGTGAAAAAAAAGATAATGAAGCTGGAAGTGAAAAAGATGAAGACAAAATTGAAGATGCTGGAACTGAAGATGAAGACCAAGGTTCTGATGCTCAACCAGAAGAATCATAGATTTTGGATATTCATTTACTGTCTTTGGTCGTGTTATGGGATTTAGAGGAAACCTCGACGAGCTGAAATTACACCTTATGTGTAAAGAACTATGATGAAGGAGTTTTTGCGTTCACAATATTTTTCACTAAGGTCGAGTTTGTTATGCCTGTAAAATGTGGGTGAAAACTTTAGAAACTTAGATTATATAAATCTCGTCTCAGAATGTTTTTTCACCCCCATTTTAAGGGTACTTGAGAGGTGATAAAACTTCAAAATCTTGTTCAATTTAAACCTCTGCAAATCATGTATCTTGAGACTAAGTAACATTGGAACCGTAGATATCCGTCTTGGCATCTTGTATTCTATGATTCCATACTCCGAACCATTTTTCTTATAAACCCCTCAAATTTCATGCTCATATTGAGGTTATAGCATCCATGATCTCTTCACTATGAATCTGTCATACTGAGTTTGTTCATGCAGAATTAAAATGCATAAATTACTACCTAATAATACATTGAGTAAGCTTGTGATGATGATCTGCATGTAACCATACCATCTATAGATTCATAAAACCAAGATAAATAATTGTAGAGCTCGTGGTACATAGTGAAAACAATTTCATTTGGTAGCTCATGATATGCTTATAGAATTCTCACAAATATTTGTAGAGCTCGTGGAATTTGCACAAATTTCACACTTTAAAAGAGGAGGAAAGTTGATTCCTTGTGGACGTGAATAGTAACCAAGTGCATATAATTTGACTATTATTATGTTCTATTCTGTGTCTCGCATGTAAAAGTAATTATTGCGCAATTTGCTTTTGACCCAAATTAAAAAATCCTAACTTCTTCGTATTATTTGATTTTACTGAGAAAGCTATACAAAATCATATTAAAACTTCTATAAGCAAATTCATATGTAATTTAACAATCTTTCAACCACATTATTAGCTTAACTGGCTTAGTTTATTTTTTGAGTACCAAAAATTAAAATGGTCCAAAGAAATGGAAAGGGAAAAGAGACTCAAGTGACACCAGAGAAAAAAGAAAGAAAGCGACTTGAAGGTTTAAAAATGATGATCCTCTTTAGTTTTGATGTTGTCAAAAGACTCGAAAGGAATTGGATCAGGGGTGTCTCGGCTTTTGTGCATATCATTATGTCTCCTTATAAATTGAAAAAATGGCCCTATTCTTAGGCATTGTGATATTGACGCCACATCATTCAAGTGAACAGTTTCAGCAATTTCTGTCAGCAGAGAAAAAAAAAACAGAAGAAAATTGTTACTACTAAAAAGTAAAAATTGGATGCCATCATAAACATTTCCTCTAATGCAGCTTTAGGTTATGCAGACAGTTAAAAGACACAAAACTGGCAGATAATTTAGCAAACCATGCTTTTACTTAGTGAACAAACATTGTTAATTGATATTCCTTCAAGTAAATCTCTTAACTATTTTTTTATGGTAAGGCTACGTATTAAAGTATGTCAAACATGTATAATCATATTAATTTCTGTTATCTTGATAAACATTCTCCCACTGATATACAGAATATATACTCTCTAATTTATCCAAGAAAAGTAACGTTTCTTCTGCTTGTTTGGATAAGTCGAATGTTATTGAATAGTTAAAAATTGGAGTGCATACAAGGAAAGAGAAATAAAATAATCTCACATTTCTTTTCTAGACCCACAAGTTCAATAATTCTACTTGTATATATGTGCAAACTCAGGGTATCATTTAATTTGGAACTCTGTAGATAGGCACAGATCTAACGAAATTGCGTGGCTTCATAAAGAAGGAAACCCTTACGTTCAGCAAGTGAAGTTGAAAAGAGAAGAGGAGATAATGGTTCATGGTTTGAGCAAATGGTTGGTTGGGTGTTGGGTGAAAAGTGGCAACTACATACTTGACTGTAACCTGCTTTTAAATACATACTCTATCTTTCTACTGCACCTTTATTCCTTGAAGAATATATTCTCTGGATCAAGTTGACTAACAATTTATATAGATTATCATGTGAATAAAGATCAGGGTTGTCGTGTAACTCAGGATTTCATTTTTTATTACCTATAACTTCAAGAATATATTATAGTTAGCATTATGGAGTTAAGTTTAATCATTGGAATGTATAATTGTTAAGTCACTACTTTGGTTTTGTAATGTTTTTCGAATCATGTATATTATTAGACTCAATATATTTCAATTATTATCTGTTTTGATCCGTATGAATGTCATGGTTTTGTTCTTAATCACATGTATACATTAAGCAATATTTGCGTAGCAACTCAGTTTAGTTGGAAATGGAGAGATATTTACTGTTGGATCACGGGGGGAATATATGCAAAGTAGAATAATTTTGAAGTCTCATATATATAGTTGAAAAGTCGATGTGTTCACAACGCATAGAAATTCACGGCTATGCTTTAAAACTTCTTTGTTTTGTCAAGATCCGAGAATTTTTTGCAATCTGTTAACACTAAAGCATTCTCTAAATGGCTCAAACAAAACAGCATAGTGGTATTGCACTAGCCTGGTCTAGTTTATACATTGAAAGCAAAAATATGAATTTTCAATGATATCCCCTTCTTTGTATTAGATACAGCTAATTTACGGCTACATTGGCTCCACATATAGGCAGGCACATTAATGAAATTCTTGAGCTAAGTTGGATTGGATGTCACTTTTGAAGGACTAAATCATCCTGCAACTAGAATAGTGAACAGGTTAAAATAACTAAAAAGAGAAAAGCATTCAATTTTTATAAATTCTCAACCAACATCACCAGTTCACTACCACGACCTTAGTCTACAAATCATTGTAACCAAGAAAAAGAAACTAGAAGGCAGAGAAAGCTACGGAGAATGGACAAGAAAGAAAAAGAAGGTGAACGAAAAAAGTTAAAGTACTCTCATCTGCACCCCATTTTCCTTGTCTTTGCCCTTCTTTCCATCTAAGCCCTTTGGCCCCTTTTCCACGTTATCTTTCCCCTTTGACAAATTCTAGCAACTATCTCTTTCTTCTTGCCTTTCTCTTGCACAGATAAATCTGTAAGACCATTACCCTTTCTTGCTTGTATGTTACTAATCATTATTTATAAGATAGAGATTCTCACAATCTAATGCACCCATCTATAAATTTGCTTGCTGTAGATGCTCCAATTATGGTTTTGTAACTTCTCTACTTGTTTCTACGTTTGTTTGAAGGTTCAATTCTTTTGTTGTCAGTGGTAATATTCTAGTATTCATAGCCAATTTTTATCCTACAACAATCACTTACCGTAGAAGGAGGAAATAGAAACCATGTTTATAATGCTTGTATGTTAGTGCATATAATATATTGCTCCTAACTCCTAACTTCTGAGGTTTTCTTCTCGCACCATGGCCTCTCTAGGTAACCCAAAAAGTTGGGTTCCATACATGAACAGCAAAGACTGCTCTCAAGGGCTTTGTAGCTTGTATTGTCCACAGTGGTGTTATGTAATCTACCCTCCTCCTCCTCCCTTTGAATTTCCCGAGGATGATTCAAGTCCCAATTTCTCACCTCTAGTTATTGCTGTCATTGGAGTCTTGGCCAGTGCTTTTCTTCTTGTGACTTACTATACCTTAATATCCAAGTACTGTGGTAACAGAGAATCTTCCCAAAGCGAAGACAACGAAGAAAACGTTGAATTGGAAGAGGATCACAACCCTTCACTCCACGAGCCGTGGCATGCTCCAACCATTGGGTTAGATGAGGCTCTGATCAAGTCCATAACAGTTTGTAAGTACAAGAAAGGTGATGGGTTGGTGGAGGTCACAGATTGCCCCGTTTGTCTCAGCGAGTTTGACGATGATGAAAGTATTAGACTCTTACCTAAATGCAGCCATGCTTTTCATCTCCCTTGCATTGATACGTGGCTCAAATCTCACTCTAGTTGCCCTCTATGTCGTGCTAGCATATTCACTTTCAATGCTGCATCACTTTATGTGGCTACCCCAGTCGCAGAATTGGGCAGTGAAACTTCAGAAAACCAACATGCAGATGTAAATGATGTTGTTACTACAAGGGACAGTGATGTGGACGCTGTGGAAGGAGAAGTCACACATGGTGGAGCAGTTCCAAAGACAGCATTGCGTGCTTTGAGTGATCTAGGAAATTTGAGGGGAAGGCATAGTGTAATCGAGATTAGAGATGAAGACTATGATTCCATTAGAAGGACAGTTTCTATGGACCATTCATTTCAAAGGGGTAGTGGTCTTTCAGTGGCTGATGTCCTCCATGTGAATCAAGAGCATGAAGGATGTTCTAATGGGGCTGGTCCTTCTAAGGGATTAAGAAGTGAAAGTAGCAAGTCTAGCTATAGAAGAAGGGTTTTGCATTGTGTTTTGAGTCCAATTGCAATGAAGAGATCATTTTCTAGTGGAAGATTCTCCCTTAGCAGAAATGACAGAGGAAGGCAATGGGTTCTGCCAGTCTGAGCAATACCTTAATCTCTTTTCCTTTCCCTTACTTTTTATCCTTTCTTATGAAGATGAAGGATCAACAGGTTTGACCAAATTTTTGAGTGAAGAGCTTATAATGTTGAATACAATTGAATCTTTATGTAGTATATTGATCAGTGTGATATCAGTAGTAGTTGAAACCAACAACTTTTTCTTTTCATGTATATCTTTTTGGGTTTGGGTTTTAATCAGTGAGTTAACATTTAGTAAAGATTAAATGCCATGTTTCCCTTGTGTTATGAACTTTTAAGGCCTGCATCAAATTATCATCCTGTCATGGATTGTGCACCCTTTCTAACTAATAATACTTTCATATAATTATTCCACTTGAATGAAATTTTAATAAGGAAATCTTACTTCAATCCCTCAATTATTTACATCAATCAAATCAATGCTTCCTACATGCAATGCATCAAGATAATAATATTACTTGTGTTTCAATTGTCTAAACTGTCTGTATGTAGTTTTAACTTTTTATATTGATTTTTTTTTAATTTTTAGTAACTTAATTTCTAATATCTATAAAGTGTTCCACTGCTTAAGAAAATTACGTAATTTAAAAAAATACTATAAAATTAATATATTAAATAATATATTTATGAAAATTTACTATTAGGTCTTAAACTAAGTATATTAATGAATTTCATAATGTAAGTAAAATCTTATATTTATTTAAGAAGTTAAACAGAAATTATCAATGTGTAAATTGTGATATTAAACCGTTTGAATATTGTTGGAGTTCGATCATTGGAAGAAACATTTTTTTTATAAGATTTTACTTAACATCTGACCGAGTCTAATTAGTTTGAGGGGAAATCTTGAGACATCAAAGGACGACTATATCTATAGACCAAACAACAATCTTAAATTTAAGCTTTTGAAATGGAAATAACACTTCATTGTAAGAATAGAATTTAACAATGTTGATAAATTTGATTGAAATGTTCATTTGATAGAATGATCAATTTAGTCAAAATTAGGTGGTTTCATTTTAGTTTTAGAATTTAAATAATTTAAAATAATAAAAAAATATTTTTTATTTTTTATTTAAGAGATTCTTACCAAATACAATTTAGACTTTATTATTATTAAAATAAAATTTAATTAATATAGGTAATAAGTAATTATATTTTAACAATAATATATAAAATATAATATTAAAAATAAAAGTTACTTTAAAGATATTTTATTAATTTATTAATATTTAAATATATATATATATATATATATATAAATTAAAAATTCATTTATTAAATAAAGATAAAAATATTATTTATTGAAAAAAAATTGATAATATATCTCCTAATAAACATTACATAAAAATTGCTAATAAATACATAACACTGAAGACATAATAAGAAAAACAAATATAAATATTTTCAAAATATAAATAATTAAGATTGGACTACACAAATTAATAAGTATTATTTTCTCTTTTTTAAAATATAAACTTTTTGGATACACCAACCAATAAAAATATTAACTTTCATCATTTACAATACATTTTATTTTCCTCTCTCAACTAAAATTAGTGACCATAACTTATCATTTCGTTCTATAATAAAGTATTAATTTTTGTCCTCTTCCTAGAAAAATAGAAATGTGAAACATTTTCACATTTAATTAAAAATTTAGATTCCCTCTATATTTTTCAAAATCACTTGTTTGTTTTATTTTCTTTTTTATGTAACATCTCTTAGAAGTCAACATCTTGATCAACTTTGGAAGATTTCTTCCTATTGTCTTCTTGTAAGAGTGTGTTAATTTCTATAAAATAAGTTTTCAACCCTCTCTACAATGTCTTCTAACCTTTTCTATAGATTCTTTACCCCTCTTTTCCTTTCTATTTATAGTTTCACTTAATCATCTTTCTTTTTAATTAGATTCATCACATTTTCATTATAAATATTATTTTTTACAATAAAACAAAATTTACATATAAAGAGATGAAAAATAATAAATTTTCTTTGACAGTATTGGTTGATAAAAATTCAAGTTCGTATATGAAAAAAAAGGATCTACTTGATAAAAAATAATTAATGCAATCTTAACCTTTTTTTGACATCATATATTAAAAAAAAAAAAACTACACGACGCTACATATATTTTAATACGGATGGAGTATTCCATAAAAAAATAAAGATAAAACTGAATAAATAAATAAGTGAGAAATAAGATAAAAATCAAAATGTTTAATTAAAAAAATAAAGTAATATATATATATATATATATATATATATAACAAATTATATTATATTTTAAAATTATTTATTTTTTCTTTCTCTTTTACTAAATAACCTGCTTAGACTTCAATTTTTTTTAATTTATATTATTTCTTAACATACAATAAGATAGTTTAACCTGTCTTGATATTTAGTTTACTTTTTTTTTTAAATATTATTGTAGATATTGTATATTATTTGATTAAGATTTAGTTTAATTGTAAAATATTTTAGTTTCCTATAATTAAATTAGGTAAAAATATATTGTATTTTGTAAATATGATGTACATATTTTATTTCATATAAAAAATAATATATTTTAGTTTATATTTTTCAAGTTGGTATATGAACGGTAACGATCTTTTAGATCTTAAATACTTTAAAACTTCTAAATGGAGGAAAAAAGATTTGATATATATAGAATGAAATTCGCTCATTTTGTTGTTCAAAGTCAAAAAGTTTTCAATTTTTTTCAAAGGCATGTTACGATGATAGGAAGAAGATACAAATGTTAGAGTTAAAAAATGAGGTATTCACTATCATACAAAATAAAAAGATATTTGCACCGGAAGTAACGTTGAATAATTGTGGTAAGATAGTTAATACTTTTAATGATATATGGATTATTGATACTTGAATCTACAAATCATAAAGTTCAAATTATTAGGAAAAACTAATAAGGTCACCTAAGTTATTAATACTAAATCTAGTAAGGTCACCAAATTAAACTATCTACGTAAAAATATATTTCTACTGCAAATGAAAATAAAGTTCAAATTATTAGAAAAAGATCTTTAAATCTTACTAGTACTTGATTTTATCTTGATTGTTCCTTTATAAATTTTAATTTTTTATCTATTTTTCAAATAAGAACCAATTCATCTTTTGTGATAATTTTTTTACCCTGACTTTTGTGTTCTTAGAGACATTAAAACAAAACAATCAATTAGTTATGATATTAGGAGAGAGAACTTATATTACTTAGATCTTTCAAAAAATTAATAAGACAGAACAAACATTAACGATGATAAGTGTAAGGGGGAAATAAAAAAAATTGAAATCTAGATATGACATCGACGCCTTGGTCATGCCTCGTTTAGGTATTTAAAAAAATTATTTCCTATTTTATTTAAAAAATATGATATTTCTAGTTTTTACTAAGATGTTTCTGAATTTTCAAAAGAGTTATTTCCATTTATTTTAAAGAAAAGTTCTCAACATTTTATGATGATACATTATGATGTGTGAGGTCCATAAAATTTAGGTAGATCTCGTTTGATTGTCACTTTTATTGAAGATTACACAAGAATGACTTGATTATACCTAATAAAAAAAAATAAGTTTATTATTTAAAAATTTTCATAAAATAATAAAAACTCAATATAATGCTCAAATTCAAGTTTTGCATAATGATAATTGTAGGAAATATAAAAATTTTAAAATACAACAATATTTAGAAACTAATAGAATTATTAATCAAATTATTTGTCCTAATACTCCTAAAAAAATTGGGTTGTTAAAAGAAAAAATCGACCTTTGTTAGAAGTTATTTGTTAGACACACATACCATTATGATATTAGGAAGAAGCTCTTACTTCAGCAGTACATTTACTAAATGAAACTCTTTCAAATTCTATTGAGTTTAAGACACCTCTTGAACTTTACATAATTTAATTTAACTGTCTCTCCAATAGATCCTAATTTACCCCCTCGTATATTTAGATGTGTTGCATTTTTTCAACGTAACAAGTTGACCCTACAGACCATTTGATGTATTTTTATTGTTGGATATATTGTACATAAAAAAGGTTATAGGTATTATCACCCTCATATTCATTATATGTATATAACAACATATATGATTTTTTATGAAGATATAATATATTTTCCTTTTGAGTTTGATTTTAATGAGGGAACCAACAAGAAATTTAGAAAATTCAGACTTTAGAATATGAATTTAAATGATATAACTTCATATCATCATCCTATAAGGAAGAAAGTGACATTGAAATTGATAGGGAAAAACACAAAAACCTAAAATACCAAAGTATGCAGCGAAAATACTTTCCATAAACTTGCAAGAATATGTGAGCAACAACAATAACAAGAATAATCACAACACAAAACATCAATATTGTTAATGTGGGAAAACTCCTCCAATATGACAAGTAAAAATTCTTGGACACAAGCTAGTAAATCAAGCTCTATTAAGATTAAAAGTATGAGCACAAGTGAGTCAAATCAAAATGCCTACAAGCAGTCAATATATCAAAGCAACTATGCTCTCAAATTTGAATAACAAAGAAAAGAAACATAAAAACCAGCTACAAGACTAATATCTCTAACCACATCCTCTAATTGATGATCTCAACGGTCAAAACAAAGACCCTTATGTTGCGACCCTGTTGTCAAAATTTTAACTCAATCCAACGGTGAACAAAACAATAATTATAATTTTACTAAGATAATTTGACAATAAGTGAAACTATCACTACTACAAATAAAGCCTTCAACGTCGGTTCTGGAAGGCTTTCAACGTCGGTTCAACAACCGACGTTGTATCAGGCGACGTTAAAAGTCCGTAACTTTCAACGTCGGTTACCCAGTACTTTAGAGTTGGAGGTCGATACTCCAACCACTAAACTACTCGGAATTTTTTGATAATAACTTACAAATAAATTATATTTATATACAAATAAATATATATCCGTGTAAATATATAAATATATAAATACAAATATATTTATATATTTT